AAAAGCAAGATTTGAACAACCGCACTAGCTTAACATTAAAAGGCAGTTACTAAACTTCTATGATAGTAAGTGGAACCACTTTATAGGAAAGTTTCTATGGTAATGTATTTAAGATGCCACATTATTAAGCTTTGAACTTTTCATTTTTAGCATACTAAACTTTTTGTTATTCGTGAAAAAAAACATGATAGTATCTTTAAAGATATGTCAAAAATTGCCTCCTTTCGCTAGTAATGTGATATCATTGTTCAATTTGTGTTTAGGGGGTCATACATAAACTGCAGATGGGTTTAGATGTTATCAGCGGGTGGCAAGATTATCAAACTAATGTAACACAATATCTATTTTATCAAATTATTTTCGTTGCTTAGGATTAGTGGTGGGGTTTTTTTTTGTCTTTTTGTTTTTATTTTGTTTGTGTGTGTGTGTGTGGGGGGGGGGGGGTCCTGTAAATGTTGTGACGTGATATTAGGGGGTCTAGCTTTTATGACGACCCGTGAGGATTGGGGAAGGGGGTAAGCAGGTTTAACGTGCATGACGTCATTCGTGGATCGCTTGGCCGCTTTCTTTGATGACTTAACCGCCCCGCAGTCAGAATTTGTAGCTGCTTTAACCTAGCTGCTTGTATTGGTGTGACTTCGTAGCCTTTAGCTCTATTACCTTTAATTGGCTGCCAAATGTCAATATGAAACGCATTTGATTTGCCCAAACCTTGTCGGATTAAATGTCAAGGACAAAAAGAACTATTCCCCACCCCTCTGCTTGTTAACATGTTCTCCCATTTGGTTCGATGACTCCCATCAAAATCTTGTTTTCTCCTCCACTCGTGACAAAAACCGACCCTTAACAATATTCACTTTATCATAATTATCCGATACGGGTTCGAGCCCACCCCTCCACCAACCGTCGTATTACGGTTAATCCCCTAGCTGAACATCAGTGGCGTCCCTTTCCGGGTTTCCGAACTGATGCGACGCGACGAGGCGTGCAGTAAACAGCGACTGCTCCTCGTTAAAAAGGGCAAGCGACTCGAGCTAATCATATAACTAACCTTTCACCCCCGTGAACGATCCCGATGCACACTGACGTGCACATCCTTTCCGAAATTGCCGTTTTAAACCGCACCCTTACCCGTCCGGGCCGTATACATTCATGTTAAAGGAAGTATCGTTTCGTATCACAAGGAAAACGCAAGATCAATGTTGGCATTAATAGTGTAATTGGGCTTCAAATTAATCAGCAGAACTGTTTACTTGATCTTTATAGCTTTTAGCTGCCTAGTTGCTTTTGTACTTTATCCCAGCTAACCTTTCAACACAAACAGTAATAACATTAAAGAACATCTTGTTAAAAACGATAGGCAGGCGTGTCGGTTTCAACACAAGAAAAAAATATCCATTGTTATGGTTCGTATTGAGTTAGAATCAGGGATAGGCCACTTGAAGAGACAGTAATGCTAAAATGGGATTCGTTAAACTTGTATCAAGAAGTCATGAGATGTTCCTTCAAAGTTTTCTTCGTGGGGGGGGGGGGGGGGGGCGGACTAAATTTTCCGGGGAGACGGACACGAGTAAAAATATATATTTACTTTATAAATTCTATTTCGTTCGGGGAATGGGGGCCTGCCTCCGAATAGATGAACGAATGAAACACTGGACGTCACTAGGGCAAGCTGGAACGAAAATTACAAGCCTCTCACGCTAGTTTCATTTAATGACCCCCCCCCCCACACACACACACACCTCAAAAGGCGGTCTTGCCCCTCTCCTCCTGCCCTCTTTTATTCACCTTTCCGGCTTTAAGGTGTATATTACCATTGACACCCTTTGGTTCTGACAAACCCAATCTTCGTAAATGATGTTTGAGGCCTGACGAATTAAAGGTCATGGTCGTTACGAGGTGAAGGGCACGTACTGTTAAAATGCAAATGTTTATGATCAAATGAAGAATTGACACAAAACTTATTAATGGTGCATATGACGTAAACCAAAATAACAGGTGCACACTGAAGCCCACTTACGCGGAATGATGTGATTGATGTTCATATTTGTTCATGTTTGGATTGTAACATTCAATCGAGTTCACCAGAAACACAATTCGTCGGGTTGAATCCGGCTTTAAGAGTAAAAAATTCAGGGTTTCAGTGCAATTGTAACATATAAATGTTGACCGATGTAAAGCCGGTATATAGTTGTACCCTAATAATATTTAGTTCTAGGAATGTACGTATCTTTGGTGCACAAAATGTATATATTTAGCTTACTTAAAGTATACACTTTCTGTTTGAAAATTATACATAGTACACAAAATGTAAACATTTGATACACAATTGTAAAACTTTACGAGATACAAAATGTAATTAAATTGTTGGCGACCATCACAAAAATGTGAAAAGATAATTTAGAAAGCGCTGTCGGATAACCTGATCGGTTAATCCATCTTGTTTTAATTACAGCTTGAAACAGGGATTAAACATGTCTGGAGGGTGGGGGTTTAAATGGAGCGAGAAGCATGGGAGAGAACCTGATACAATATCATGCAAGCAACTCTTTCTTAGATAAAGATTACATTCGGTTTTTGTTTTTGTATTTTATTTTATTTTATTTTTGTCTAAATGTTTGGTTGTCTTTACAGTGTATGTTAGTGTTAAATTCGAAGAGGACTCCAATTAAGGGCTTGATTAAGTTAAGGTAATTAGTCACCCGGTAGAAAGCTTTAGTTATGAGGAGTGTCGAAGTAAAATAGATATGTTTAGAAAGAAGATAGTACTGTTCTTAAAACTTTAGTATTGACTTGATCTTATACGTTTTTAATATTTGAATACTAAAAATAGAAATTTAAAAAATTAAATTAAAATTTTAAAATATTTATATTTAAATACTAAAAAGAGTTTTTTAATGTGTATTTTTAATTATTTATTTTCAATTCGTTTTTTCTTTCTTTTTTCTCTCTAATGTAAGTAGTAATGAAGGTAAAGACGAGAGGTGGTGGCTTTTGAACAGATGCGTACAATCCCATTCCAGCACTCAGTGCGAACTATCAAGTTTGGCGACCCGTCACACCCGCCCTACCCTAGGTACGCCTCTGCATTTGAGGGAAGTAAAGATGGGAGGTGGTGTCATTTGAGAGAGGTAAAAACAGGAGGCGGTGGCATTTGATGAAATTAAAGATGGGAGGTCGCGGCAGTTTTGGTAGGTAAGGTTGGGAGGTGGTGGCAAGTAATAACGATGTGCATTTGTGAACCTTGATGGAGGTAGAGATGAAACACTGTGACACCTGGTGGATGCAGGGAAGGGTGACAGTGACATATGGTGTAGGTAGAAATGGGTGACAGTGAAACCTGGTGGAGGTAGAAATGGGAGACAATGACCTCTGGTGGAGGAAAAAATAAGAGAGAGAGACACCTGGTGCTGATAGAAAGAGGAGACAGTGACATCTGGTGGGGGTAGAAATGATACAGATATAGATACAGATACAGATACTGATACAGATACAGATACAGATAGGGGCGTAGGGACGTAGGGACATAGGGACATAGGGACAGGGACATGGACATGGACAAGGACATGGACATGGACATAGACTCGTCGCAAAACTGCAGTGTATCGATAGCATCATTACCTAGTTTTAATGTTATCTTAACATTGTTGGCGTGAGACGTTATCGCACACAGTCATGCCAACATAGATCTACATTGTGCCATTTTCTCATATTTGTGGTGATGTAAGCCTATCACAATAATTAAATACTTTGTTTACTGAATCTGGTTAATTAACTAGCTTTTGAAACCTAAGTGTTCCAATCATTTCGACATCAGTATTAAACACCTGCTGATTGGGGAAATCACCTTTAATGCCAAAGTATGGTTTAGCTGTTTCACCATGGTAATTTTTTTTTAAATCGCAGCAGCGATAGAAATATCAGTAAACATTCGCGTATAATAACATCGAAACAATCAAAAATAGATTAACGATTGAATAAATCGAATGGTCACAAACTGGTTGCTGATACTAGTGCTAGTTCAAAGTCTACCGATGGCGGGCTCCCTGTGCCGCAGTGCTTGCTGTCTGCTCACCTTACAGTATGGTGGCCACTGTTGTCAACTCGCGCTGCCGAGCGATTTCCCCCCCCCCCCCCCCCACCACCACCACCACCCCGATCCCACTCCCCTTCCCTGTCTGAAATGAAATTGGCAGTCGGCTTGTCCCAGAAGTCTTGAGATTGTTCTAAAAGGTTCTCTCTGCTGATCGATATGACAACGAGGGCATCCAATGTGGGTTTGGCCATCCCGCGCGGCAGGCGGAGACTAAACCGTCATGGCCGAATATCCGGCAGGCCACGCCCACCAATCCTTTCATTACGGGACCGATAAACTGCTGCTCGATTTATAATTGTCCTAAGTCACCCCCGCCTACACCTCCCCCCGTCCCCTTTCCCCCCAATGGCGAGCTTGAATGAGAAATGGCAAACGGTAATCTTTGCCAACTGGTGTAAACACACGGATACAAGAATCTCCGCTGTCTCTTCGTGCTGTTATTTTGTAATCAGGTACCGATGCCATCCGGTAGGCCAGTCGCTAGAGTTCGGCCGTTTCTCTGGACCATCCGTACATCATCAGTTTAGAGCTGGATATTGCAGACATTTCATCTAACTATTCCTCCAGAGTCATATAAATTAATTAAACCACTTAAATTAAATACAATGTAAATTCTATTCTCAATAGAACTTCACACGTTTCAAAATATCGCATGAACAGCCTCTTTGCATCTAAGAAGTCGTATTAAAGAAGTTTCGCGGATTTTTAGTGTAATGAATTCTACCGATCACAAAAAAAGTTGACCAACGACAGAATAAAAATCAGAGTACTTGATTAAGACCCTGTTTGGTAGAAAAAAAATAACTCCGCACAGACGTTAACGTTCATGATTGACGACAAAAAGTTATGAACAAGCGAGAAACAATTGTGCCGCTCTAGCCACAGAAACAAAGACATGTACAAACAAGCGACATTTGTGTCTCTGTAAACACGCAGATAAGAACTTGTGACTAGCTAATACACACGGCCCGAAATAAACGCAGGTGAGTAGTTATTTTTGTCTTCTATTGTTCAGACGCAAAGCGTAACTTTGATTAAATGTTAAATTTGGTTTAGAAATACTGGTACATAACTAGTGAGTGCAATAATATTAAATTAAACTACCCTCAAATGGCTATAAGTATATCTAACGTCACCTTATCTGTCGCTGTTTGTTCATAAATATTACCGTGATTTTGAAGCGCATTTAATTTAATAACCTTCAAACGACGAATATTTGCCGTCGTTAGCCAAACATAGATAACTATAGGACTGTTGTTGTAAGGCCTTAATTTTAAGCGAAGTTATTGTTAATAAATTTTTGTTATTTCATTTCAACAAATGTTCACTCTGTTTTGCTTCTTCTATCTGAATATTATTAAAGTCAATGGCGTTGCCAGGTGATGGTCATGGGAGGGGTTTAAATTTTCTCTCTCTCTCTCTAACTTTCTCTCTGTATTTTTACAATACATAGGCATATTTAATATATATTTTATATATATATATATATATATATATATATATATATATATATATATATATATATATATATATATATATAGGCTTCAATATAAGCTATATGCACACAAAAATACATAGGCTTTATATATATAAATATATTTATTTATTTATTTATTTATTTATTTATGTATTATACTTATATATATATATATATATATATATATATATATATATATATATATATATATATATATATGTGTGTAGATTTATATATATATATATATATATATATATATATATATATATATATATATATATATATATATATATATATATATATATAAATCTACATATATATATATATATATATATACTAACCGTCCCGGCCAAGCCCTGGGCTCTGGGGAAACTCTATCTGTGAAGGACAGTGTCTTGTGTGTTTATTAAGTACCATATACCCATATTTTGTATTACAATTAAATGTCTATATGCAAATATGGACGTTTGAGAAAATAACACATAACCATAAACCTAACTCTAACTTAACTCTAACCACATCCAACCACAACCAAAAGGCAAACGCAACATAAACACAAGCGCAATATATATATATATATATATATATATATATATATATATATATATATATATATATATATATATATATATATATATACATACAATTTATGGGATGTAGTGCCGATGTTTGCATTCAGTTATCTCCAGTCCTAATCAATAAAAAAATTACATACTATGTATTTACCGTAAAATGATACCCCGCGGAACCTCACACAGATATAAGGTTTAACGCCGGTCTTAGCATATTACTTGACCGATGCATTTTTTTTGTAGTTGAAACGTATATTGAATTAAATTCCTTAGTGCTCACTCGAGCAATCTTACTCATGCATTTCTTTAACCTGTTATACTTGTAAAGTACAGCACCGCTTGTAATTGCATGTCAAAGCGTCAGAAAAAATTACAACTCAGTAAATGTGTCCTCCCAAAAGTTTACTATTACTTGGTGCATCCAGTAACCTGTAGTAACACCTTACAGCTCTCTCGTAGTCGGTAACATGGAAGGGATTTCTCCTGGCCACCCTGCCAAATACTTAAAACTGTTTCAGTGTTGTTACTCACCTACACAATTAAATAAAAAAGAAGCCATTTACTTTGAGATAGACTATTGATGTAATTCACCCAGTTGCCGGGAAAGTAACAATGGTGAGACGATATTCAATTTTTCTTTTTACATAGAGCGAGGTACATGGGAAGGGTTATATCCCCCGCCCCACCTACACCCATTTGTCTATGCCACTTGTGTAAGCGTACATTGGCCAAGTAACGTGTTGTACTATTAATTTAAGACTCTGAAACTAATCGCACGTTAGTAGGTTTTTGTGGCATCATACGGCTTTGTTTTTACGAGACTTTTACTTGTTGTTTTGGAGGGAGTTTAGATTATAATGAAATAGGCTTAAGTAGTAAGATCGCGAGCCACCGCTAATGCTGCAAGATTGAACTAACTCAGTGTTCATAGACGCGCGAGTGAATGAAGCGGTAATTGTTATACAGAATGGTGAATTTATTGTACGGCAACCAAGGGCGCTCGCGTGATATTTTAAAATGGGGAGTAGTCCTTTAATTGAGACAGACAAAAAAAAAAGATAATACTGTAAAATACTAGTTGAAATTCACAGTAATATTGAGTTAGGTAGCCACCGAAAGAAACAAACCTAATTAAAAAGTTATATGGTGCAAAAAAAATGGATTTACATACTTATTTAAAGTAGTGAATACATTTTTGTTACTCTATAGATTCATGTAAATTTTAATGAAGGAGTTTTAGTTTCTGTAGTCATAATATAGTCAAATATATATATATATATATATATATATATATATATATATATATATATATATATATATATATATATATATATATATATATATATATATATATCACCTGGTGAGGATTAAGTTTGTATTTGATGCAGATACATTTGCGCTTGTTCCAATTTGCCATTCCTGCATCTCGCTCCCAACCGTCACTGACCTTAGTAGTAAAGTAAAGTTTCCCTTTCAAACCTGACGGTCTATGGGGCAAGTGAAGTAGAGTTCACTTGTTTCTGTGACTTCGGCAAACGAAGAGATAGTGTGGTCAGCACTAAGCCCAGCCGCCTTTGCTTTTCCTAACATGAGTTAGGTACCCATCAGAGTTGGGTGGACTCAGGGACGGTCTACTGACTTGAACCCGGATTCGAACTCGAGAATTACGGGTAAGTAGTCCAGCTCAATACCGCTAGACCACTCCGTCCCCTGATCTAAGTACTTTTTTTAATAAATGTAAATGTGAGGGGTAATAATAAAATATCTTGTTTATAAATTTAATTTTACTTTTAAATCCAACGTATGATAATTGGATCATCGTTAAGAGAGAAAAAATTTCAGAATATACAAAACTCAGAAGAATACCCCCCCCCTCCCTTCCAACCAAACTTGCAAAAAAAAAAAAACTTAACCTGCATTTCATTAAGCTTACCTGATTGATGTTTGTTTTGTTGTAGTTTTTTTTTTTTTTTTTTAATGCCGCACCTTTAGTCGAACAATGACCAAGTAATTGACACCCGGTTTCAAACCCGAGTTCCAGCTTGGTTAACGGTGAGAGCCAACAGACACTCCCGTGGAGTTCTGAATTCAGGGCGCGGTGTCACCTCATTCTCCGTCCCAACCTGGTTCCTAAATGAAAAGGTTAAAGCCTAAACCTAAATTTTCTGGGGGTTTTCTAAATTTTCTAATGTCGAGCTGTTGTAGGAATGTTGCACTTAATACAGAAAATCTTCGCCACCCAATTCGTTACAAAGATGAAAAATAATTTTAAGACTTATACCTTTTATAAACCAATATATTCATTACTTGACCAATTTGTACTACTTTTTAGACATTTTTTTGTAAAAAGTACCGCATTTTTGGTAATTGTGTATGTATGTTATTGTTTACGAGCCGACCCGCGGCGTATCATACGCCGCTATTTAGTTGTTTTATTTTCTACTTTTCAGTGAATTCGACAATACCAACGCTGCCACTGAAAATATTTGCTTTAAAACACTATCAGTAGCTCGTTAAGGACGATAACCCCCCCCCCCCCTCCCTCCTTTCCCCAACCCCTACCCCCCCCTCTGTGGTAGTCTCACTTACTCACCTTTGTGGTAGTCTCACTTACTCGCCTCTGTGGTAGTCTCATTCGCCTCTGTGGTAGTCTCACTTACTCGCCTCTGTGGTAGTCTCACTCGCCTCTGTGGTAGTCTCACTTACTCACCTTTGTTGTAGTCTCACTTACTCGCCTCTGTGGTAGTCTCACTTACTCGCCTCTGTGGTAGTCTCACTTGCCTCTGTGGTAGTCTCACTTACTCACCTCTGTGGTAGTCTCACTTACTCACCTTTGTGGTAGTCTCACTTACTCGCCTCTGTGGTAGTCTCATTCGCCTCTGTGGTAGTCTCACTTACTCGCCTCTGTGGTAGTCTCACTCGCCTCTGTGGTAGTCTCACTTACTCACCTTTGTTGTAGTCTCACTTACTCGCCTCTGTGGTAGTCTCACTTACTCGCCTCTGTGGTAGTCTCACTTACTCACTTTTGTGGTAGTCTCACTTACTCGCCTCTGTGGTAGTCTCACTTACTCACCTTTGTGGTAGTCCCACTTACTCGCCTCTGTGGTAGTCTCACTTACTCACCTCTGTGGTAGTCTCACTCGCCTCTGTGGTAGTCTCACTCGCCTCTGTGGTAGTCTCACTCGCCTCTGTGGTAGTCTCACTCGCCTCTGTGGTAGTCTCACTTACCGATTCTGTGTGGGGCTCATTCACCAGTAGTAGTTTCAAAAAGTAATCGTTCGAAATTTAGCAATTCATTAAGTCAGAAAAATAGAAACTCTTCCTTTAATATGTTTTGTTATAGTATAGTACATTTTACTGTATATAAAACTAATAGTTTAATTAAGCAAGTTTTTAAAAAAATAAACTGTTTAATTTAGTTCTCTTACTTTCCTACTTTTCTTGTAGTTCATTTAAAATGTTTTTTTTTAATATCTCTTAAATGTATTCGCTCTCTAGACAAAACAAAATATTTGAGACGGACTAGTCCGATAACGGAGTGAGTAGTCGTTTAAATCGCACGCCAGTGTGTGAGAGAGAGGGCGTGGGGGGGGGGGGGGGGGGTGAAGCAGGAGTCACTCGAACCCGACACACCGCCATTACATGAGCTCGCAATGTTAACACTACCCTCTCGAGTTTAAGAGTTAAATAAGCTCCCGGCCACCTCCCCGCCCTACATTGTCCCCACCATAACACTTGACCCCTAATGACGGCCGAGTCAAGGCGCAGTCCCTCTCCTCCTTTCACCATCTGCCCCAGTGAGTTAAACAACGTACGCCCCGTGTCACCAAATCGTTTCTTGCAGGGAGACGGGGGGAGGCAGAGGGCGCGGTGCTCACGCCGTAATTCCCGACACCACGTGACAATTGGGACCGGGGCTTTGATTAAAATGTAA